GTGACATGGCGCCCGGATGACTTGTGCACGAGAGCCATCTTCCAACTCCTCCAGAGTAACCCGCGAGCCGTGGGGCAACGAGAGCTCTCGCAGACACCGCGGGGCGTTAACTAACACTCTGGCTGCCAGCCTTCCCGGACGCCACGCCCCCACCCGTTTGGAGAAACCACTAAACCTGTTTAATCCCAAGGACCATCTCTGCTACGGCTACATCAGCTCTTACCACTACCCTATGTATGTGTTACACATATGTGTACATATTATGGGAATAAATAAATACAAAGCGGGAATACTTTGACAGTCTGATTAGTTTAAAGCATACTGGTTATGTCTTCTATAGCATATGACTCACTTCAGCCCCAGAATTGAGAACTTAAATAAAGTGTAATTTATAAAAATAAGCCACTATTTATGAATGCAAAAATTCATCTTAAGAATTTTTTATTATCCAGATCCGTTTCGCAAAAAGAAAAAGAAAAAGAAAAAAGAAAAAAGAAAAAAAAAACCCGCACAATTCCTGTGAAATAAAAATGCACTTCCAGAGTTCAACTGAAGAACCCCCTGCAGAGGTCACTTGACCTCGGCTCCCGCCGAGAGGAGCAGGACCGTGTTTCAGGAACCCCCGGCCGCCCCGCGCGCCCACACCCTCGCGCCGGCCGCACACCACCCGCACTCCAGCGGAGGTGCCAGAGGAAGAACGCCTGAGGACTGACCCCGCCGCCTGTGGCGGGCCGGGGGCCGGGGGCTGGCCCCGGAGATCGGCGGCTTCCTCCGCGCTGTCCTGAGAATCAGAGCCACTCTGCCTCGACCTGTGCTGAGCGCCCCCGACAGGAGCAGCGGGCTAAAGCAGGTCAGCAGTTCGTAAGGAACAATGTCCATTTAAAATGACAAAACGCCAGCAGACTCCTGGCTGTACAGTGTAACCAGTAACACTACCTAACTTACAGAGATGAAAAGAAATGGTTCAACAAAGAATCAAACTGGTTTCTTGGGGTACATCGTTACAACGAATCTCTTCGCTCTTAACGCTGTGAGCAGACAGGGATTATTTTGGAGAAGGAGACACGAGGAAGGAATTAGTACTGCGGGGGCAGAAAGGCGAGTGGCGAGACCAGGAGCGCCCTCGCACCAAAGCCACTTCGCCCCCCGCTCTGCCGGCCCCTCCCGCCTCGGGGGGCTGCGATGAACGAAGCCACGGCCGCAGGCGCGGGGGACTGCCAGCGGACAGACAACACACAACGCGTCACGCCGCGTCATCTGTGCTCCCGCTCCTCAGGGTTAGTCCAGGAACTCACGACTTTGCATCCTTCTGTCTTTCCTTCTGTTTTAATTAAACACGTAAAGGTTAATAAACAGACATAGTCCAGAGTTAGTAGGTTGGTATTATAACATTTATTAAAATAATGCCATGGGTTAATAGAAACAGCAAAGAACCAAGGAATTAAAATGCAAGCTATGTAAAATCCCAACTAAAACCCAAAAGTATCTAATGTACTCATTCATCAGCTAACTAAAAAGCCCGAGAAAGACAAGACACCCAATATAATAAAGTACTGCAAAACAATTGGCAATTTTCAGTTATCAAAATTGTGGATTTTGCATTTTGTATCCTTTTCTCAATCAAGAAAAAAATTCTTTTTGAATGTTATATAACATACATATAAAACAAGATAGAAAAATACATTATAAACTTGTAACAATGGCTGTAAATACATTATCTTACATGTTTCTCATAGGCAATAGGTTGGTTATGGTACATACATAGCATGAAACTACTGAGATAATAGAGAACAGACAAAAATACATGTCAGCTGTACGGTAACATACAAGCGACACTCCCATCTACCCACGCTAAAAAATTACATAATACTGTCAAAAAAAGTCTTAAAAACTACATATTTTAATAAGAAATAAATTCAATAAAGACTGATAATACTGAGAACCAAGGCATTCAGAGATTTCAAAAGTCATGCTTATTTCCAGTTGACCCAAAGCTGTTTCAACTGGGTTTCCGCAAGCCTGCGCACGGCCACCACCACTCCGAAGGGCCACGCGTCCAGTCCCCACGTGGACTTTCCTCCCCAGAAAAGACCCTTGATGAGCGTCTAAAATGTCCAGGCATAACACAGCTGAGATGAAACTGGATCAAATACTGGTATTGTTTTTAAACTACTATCACCTCAAGTGTCTGAGTGTCGCAAGTTTATTCAGTCAACCAAACCAAGTGGAAAGCGAAGTGGCACAGCGTGTGCGGCAAGTGACCCGGACGACGGTGCGTGTGTGTGACAGGAAGACAAAGCAGTGGCACGTTAAACCGGAGCTGGCCGCTACAAAACAATGCGTGTCTATTGCATAGTAAATAAACTGAAAACGTTTCCCAGCGAGACCAGATGACGGAGGAGGTCCCCGCGAAGGTGCTTACTGAGCGTACTGCTGACGTCGGACTGTGCAGGTGTGTACGGGGGGACGAGCTGAACAGCTGGCACCCACTGCCCCTTGACATTTGCCACGTCTGGTACTGAGGCGGCTGACGGTCGCTAAGTGTTCAGAGAGATGCAGGCTCTGTGCACGCGTCACTTTCACTGCACGGAACTGAACTTGGGGGGGGGGGGGCTGGGGGCTCAGACTCGTATGTAGTTGAGTGTTTATATGCACGGTCATGCTAGATCTTCACATTCTTTTAAAGTTAAAAAAACGGTGTGTGTGTGAGGGCAGGGGGCATCTTACGTTATTAAAACTGGCAAGGGGGGTGGGCTACCCAAGTGACCTGGTAGGGAGAAAGAAGTCTGATTAAGTTTGGGTCATTTAGAGAACACTGTTTTCCAGAGTGAAAAAATCAAGAAGGTTCATTTTTGTGAAGACGTTTAGCTAAGTATGATATTAATCTTCAAATAATAAGGCAGAATTCAACACACACCTTCGTCTCTGAATTTGAAAACAAAGCTCTAATTTGTCTGTAAACTGATGTTCAAATCGCACATAATTTTTATCTCAGAATCCTTTGGGGTAACATTAAATATTGCAATAATCAGAAGCAATCAATTATGATTTTAAAAGAATGTTTGAAAACACATGTCAGGCATTAGAAAAATTATCAAATTTTTTCACAGTATCAGATTTGGCAAATTTGTATCAAGGTAACGTGGCAAAAAATAGATCAATTCAAACCATCAACTCATGTATCTCCCTCTTGTCTGCTCTCACGTACTGGGCAGCTGAGCGGCACGCGCTGACCTGCGTGCCGAGGGAGGAGCTGGTCTTACGAGACACTGGACTAAATGACCATGAAGAAAAATAAGGCACTTCCTTTTCTTTAGACTTATTCCAATACTTAAAAAATAAAAAAGAAAGACAAAAAGGCTCTTTTGGTCTTTTGTTTCTTGACAACCACCAGAAAAAATCATTTAATGAAATAAAGGGTTTCTTTGTTCTTTTTCTTTTTTTATAACACTTGAAAGTATAAAATGCTACATTTCCAAAAATATATATATTTTTTCTGCACCAGCACCCTTGTATAGTAAAAGTATCTACTTTTTGTTCATTGTTTCAATGCACTACACTTTATCTACAATTTCATTACATGTATACAGCAAAGAGGCAAGCATGGCTTTTACATCCTTAATGATTTTTTCTATACAGGGAGGTTTAAAAAAAATATTTGAACAGTTTGCCCAGTAATGTGACACATAATGCATGTACCTTGTTCTCATATATTTTTAAGGAGCTGTAAAATAAAGGTTTAGTAATTTTAACTCAGATACTTATTTTTTTAAAAATAGTGTCGCAGTTTTGTTCTTTGCATTACTTTTCAAAATCCCTCGCTAAGTGTTTTCTCACGGCACACTTCTGATGCTTCCAATGCCGGCAGGCAACGGCGAGAGGCCGCCACTGCCGCCCTGGGCGGGCGCTGTAGTGACTGAACAGCGTATCAAATTTTGAATACTTTTGAAATCCCTTCACCAACGACATCCCTGACCAAAGGTTCATGCATGATGCATCACCACACAGTACATTCAGAGCGTGGACTCGCCATGAGAAGGAAGGGCTCCTGGGAAGTCTCTCACAGTAACTGCCTGTCACTGAGTAGTTGGGGCCACCCGTCTCCCCTCCTGCAGGGAGGCCTTCTTACCGTTCGCTTAGGGCGGGGCATTGCGAGATGATCAGTGCTGTGGCATGAATTGGGCCTTATTGCTTTACTACTATTCAGTGCAGGTTCTAGAACCATTTTCACCCAAACAGGAAAAACAAAACAAAACGAAACAAAAGCTGAGTTGGAGGACAACAATTTCTTTGTCTTTTGTTTGGTTAGATGGTAAGACGAACGGACAAGTGCCTCAGCTCGCTGCACTGACGACAGGCAAGCAAAGGCGATTACCAGTTAACTGATCAGCAGGCAGGCATGGTCAGGTCATCATTGGGTGAAGAGTTCAGAGGTCAGAAGGTCATAGGTTAGTTGCCGGTGGCGGCTGGGTGGTTAGAAACAAAAAACAAAACAAAGAAAAGAAAAGATAGAGAAGAGATTAGTTTCAGCTAGTGACGGCTTAATGACAACATGAAAAACTAATCACAACTAATAAAAAAAAAGCATGTGTAATTCTGACAAACTGATTGACACCATCTACAAAATACAATAAAAATCATGACAATTTCATATCATGATTTGAACGAATGAAGGAGAGCCCTCTCCCACAAAAACAAAAAACCGGTTAACAGGAAAAAATGGAAATAAAATGTAACTAACGACTAACAGTTAGTAGCCCGATGGGGGAACTGAGGACGAGGACAACGAGGGGTCCGGTGCACAGGACTCGGAGCGGTCGGCGCGGGGCCGGGGCCTGGCCGCCGCCAAGCATTAGTGCTCTCTCGGATGCAAGCATTAAGCAACTATTAATGATGGATGTGATTATTAACAACTGATGATTAATAGAAATGAAACTAAAGAAATTTAAATTTGTATGAACAACTTGGTTCAACATAAACTCTGGGCCAAACAAGGTTTCTTTTGTTCAATAAATGTTTATTGCTTTTTCAATTGTTCTATTTACAAACGACACGGGGTCTCTGGCCTCAGGACACAGAGCGACACTAACCTGCAGGCTAGCGGTGTAGGCAACGTCGTGGGAACCAGAGAGGGCCAGGCCCTTTGTGCGCTGGCCCACACTTTCCAGTTGGAAATACTATTTTACACATATAGAACACTTATAAAATGCACTTGCATGTAAACACTGTGAAATCCTGCCATTTAAAACTCTATACTCAAAAGCTCTAAGTACATCAAAAAATAGAAGAAATTTCTAATTGATACCAATAAGGCATTTTAAAACTACAGCTTTCTTTATTCAACTTCAAAGCTAATTCTCTGCAAATACAATAAAATCTGACATTTCATATACATTCCTGCTTTATATATTTTAAAAGAAGCCACCTGTAAATACTATTTTCTTTTGCAAAATAACAAACAGAACAAAAAAAATCTTTAAAATTACAGTAAAACATAAAGTAGTTCTCAAGTGGAAAAGTTCTCGTCCCCAATGTCCTTGAGTTGTTCCTTCCTTAATCAACACTGTCACGTTCTGCTTCACCAAACTTGGTCCACTTAACAGTAGTATGATTTTTAAGACTCATTCAACAGCTTAATTATTTCTACTATATTCTGAGGTTTGAAAGAATTTTCTGTACTGTGGCCACTGTGACTACGGCAGAGGAGATACGAAATGCTTCAGTGCAAAGGTAGATTCTGTGCCGCTTTGTAAATTGGAACCCAGTAGGTCTAACGTTCACAGAGTCAAATGGTCTACGTAGTCGACTGGTTTGCCCTCACCTGACAAAAATGCTTTCTGCAGTCTATCATTTAGAATAGTGTAAAAATACTACAAAAATACTGTATCTTTAGTGTGACCAAATCATCCCTGAATTTCTTAAAAATAGTGGAATTCCATTTAAGACACAAACGGCTACTCCGCAATCAAAGCAGAAGACACACGGTTCACCGGATGTAGCCACGTGGCTTCATTAGGCCCTCCAGAGACACAGAGTCTCAAAGCGTTTTCCATGCTAACTATAATCGATTAAAATTGTATTAAGTTTCTTATACAAACTGTATAAATAATGGTTTCTGTAAAACCACCATTCAGAAATGTTCTTGTTTTTGCACGTGGAGCCCACAGAGAGAGCAGACCACCATTCCCAAGCACACCAGCACACCTAGAACGCCTCCTCTGCCCAGTCCTGGCCCCCACAGTACACACAGGCGTGTCAACCGTGCAAAATAAGGTAGGGTTCCCTTTGACTAAAGAGTCAGTTGGTCTTTCATAGGCTTCAGATTCAGTTTTGCAACACGCAGAGGTGGGTTTACTTTTAGTGACAAACTAGGCGTCTGTCAACCATGCCGTGCTCTGGATGCTCGCACATAATTAACTACACGGCTACAGGTCCAAGGGCTGAGCTTCCTCGCATTAAATGAACACTTATATTAATCTTCCCCTCAAAAGATTAAAAAAATAATAAAAAACCCTCAAAACTATAGAGAAAACAGTAGTATCATAAAATAATTTAAAAGTGAAGGACTTCAGACGTCTCCCTCAGACCCAGTGAGTGCGCACAGTGACAGCAACAGCAGTGTACAGAGGACTCTGTTATTCAGAGGGAAAAGGTAGCATTTCGGTTTGCTGACATTGCATTTTGAATAGAAACAGTGACAGGACTAATGAAAACACAAAAGAGCCATGCATGGAATGTGTTCTTATTTTGAAATACAATAAAATCTTCCTAGTATTTTCAACTATCTCAAGGCACTGGAGTACTGAGTAGGCCAATAATTACTGTGTTAAAACGAAATTATGGAAACTCTAAAAGGGGTGTACAAGGAAAGGTTAACAAAAGAAAATCTACTTCCAAATCCCCCTATTTCAGACAGTAACTACGGGGAAAAGTTTAAATCATTCATGGAATTACTGGGGTTCCTCAAATCTGCACGATTCCCCCCCCCCCCCGCCCCGGGGAAGAGCGCCCTCCGTGGCGAGGAGGCGCGCCCCGGTGTGAGCAGAGTGCTGCGCACGCGCGCGCACGGGACACTCACAAGGAGCACTGTCCTCACAGATGGCCACCGAGCCGGGGGTCTCTTCATTTTGTTCATTAAATCGCTACAAGTAACATATTAGTTAAAAATCTTCGAGGCTGTTTAATTATATATTATGCTAAATAAATATCATCGATATCTTTGGAAAGGTATTTTATTCTGACATGGACAACAGCTGCGTCCAATATTTATCATCAGTGTTCAAGGTAACTATGCAAAGTATAGATAGATCTTTCACAAGTTCATAGAAGATGTAGAATTGAGGTTTTAATCCATCACTTTTCCAAACTGGTATTAGTTAGATTAACTAAATCGGTAGGTAATAAATGTGCCATAAAAAAAAAAAAGCTTATAAAAAATTCTCTTCTGCCTTGCTTTGGATTCCTATCTTATGATCTCAAACTCAGAAAAAGAATTCAATGTCAATAAACCGAAAATATCACTCCTCAATAAACATAAATAATTCTTAAAGGGTCCAAGGGAATATATAGGACACAGATTACAAATGCTGAAAAGGAGAAAAGTGAAGACTTATTTCCAGTCACAGGTCAGTCAAAAAAGATGCTCCAACAGCTGGATGTGTGTCACCACAGAACTTCCAAAGATAGTTTACCTTCAGAAAATATATTTTAGCAGCAAATGACAAAAATCAAAGGATCCATTTTGGAAGAAAATATAATAAAAGGGAATTGATTTTCTGACTTATAAATAAGATCCAACTGCACCAAAGTTCTCTTCACAGTCTTTACTTTGCTGATCTCAGCTAAGTACTTGACATGTATAACCTCATGTTTGTACAGTGGCTCAAATGTCATATTAAAAAGGGAAATGGGAAAATAAATCTTCAATTTTCTCCAAAGAACACAGGAGGCATATATTCCTTTACTTCTCTCATTAAAGCACCATCCGCTCAGTTCATTTTGCAAAACCAACCCAAAATTTCAGAACAATTAAAAGAAAACTTTTAGCAAAAATTATTATTGAGAAACAATTAAGGAGAAAACAAAAATTCATAGCTCCCCAAATGGACTAATACGTGTTTTAGTAGGAAGAAATCATAGTACAAACTAATAGAATTTAATAAGTTAAAATATGAAGGGAGGGAAAAAAACACAAAAATGCATCCCGAAAAACCCACCCCTTAAATCTGTCAATTATAAATTAATTTAGAAAAGGAAAAGAAACGCTGTGCAGGTAAACAGTTATGTGTTTTTCCATCAGGTGTGGTGTTGCAAACTGTACAGACACCCGACGCATTTCTCAGAAACAAGAACTGCAGAACTAAACTAACCTCGGTCTGCGGTCACAATCCTTTGGTAAGGATGGACACGCATATCGTGCCTTCGAACTTTAGTAGCCACCGCACCTAGTTAAATTGCAATTACCAAGACAAAGTTAGAAAACATTCACAAGGGGGAAAAAACAAACATTAACAGGTTTATCAAAATGGATTTCAAATGTTCATTTACTACAAAAACTTCATTTTAAGAAACACGTTAAGGCACAGTAGTTTTAAAATTAACCATAATATGTTGCGTATATATGCGTCTATTAATATTGCATTTATTTCAAACATCTTGGCCTTAACCTATTTTATCCATTAACTCATAATCCCAAGACACAGTATTTCATGAACTCTATGATTCCCAAACAAACATTTACGCTTTACTAGTCACATATTCACTGAAGTGCTTTTCTCGCAACAGGACCACTTAAAAGCACGCCATGCTCAATGCTGACAATGACTGGCTAACCTTCAGACCGCTTCCAGAGTTTATCACGTAAAAAGGTTTATGAGCAATTCGTAAAGCCTACAGATTGTGGTTTTAAACTTTGAGTCAATAAGTATGAACCGCAATGAATTAGGTGATTAGTAAAGCAAACAGTATAGTACACTTAGCAGTCAGTATACCACTACACACTCCTTTATAAATTACCGTTACTTTGTAAGGTTATAGACTAAACCAAATTAATAACATACTTTTACTTCCTATCAGTGTGCAAAAGTGCAAGTAAGTCACTGACTGCTAGGCTAAGCTTCCCTCCCCCCCAGAGGCTGCTGAGACTAAGCATTTGTTAAATTCAGATCTGATGAGGGTTCAGTTAAGACCGTTCTTGAATTCTTAGCCTTTCGTTGGGAAAGCCATACCTAAAGATAAAAGGAAGGGAATTAAAAATTAGTCACCAATGAAGATTTGATGCTATTACCAATCTCCTCACTACCACCAACACACATGTCTGCATCTGTTTTGAAGGGCACTGCTTATTTTAAAATAATATGATGTGAGACTTGATATACAGCATGCATGTTATCTGTGTGCAAATTTACTATAACTTAGCAATTTGAAATGATTTTGTCAGTTCTCCAAGTGGTCTCAATCAGTATCACCTTTTACTGCTTAGGTAGCAAAGCAAGAAATAAAACAGATCATAATGGACTTTAATCATTTAGTACTCGCTATTATTCATCTTACGACTGCCAATTAGATATGTGTATATTTTGGTTTCAATTGTCAGTCTAATAATTACAAATTTCCCAACACAACCAAAAACACACTGCTTTGAAATGACAAGCCGATTCTGCAGTGCCCCTTGCTGACTCTAAGCAGTAAACTGGTCCGTCACCCCTTTTACATTTCAGGTAAACTAATCTCGGACAAGTTTAATCCAAGAGGCAAGGCCAGTGAGCTCTGGCTTGGAGAGGGCTGGAGCAGCAGCCGGGCCTAGAGCCCGCCCTGCAGGGAGCGGCAGCCCCCCCTCCCCCAGCAGACGCTGTGCGTGCAGCAGGGAGGAGCTCTGGGGAAAGGAGCAGGCAGGGGCCACAGGACAGAGCGTTAACAGTTAAGAAGAAACGTAAACAGGTTATATGTTACAGGTTATTTTAAAAATGCTTCAAGAAATGTGCAACAGAAGTAAGAATCTCATAAACAGCTCTATGGTGTGATTCTGACCTGGAATACTTTACACAATGATTTAGAGGTAACCGAAAACATGTACAATAAGATGTATTTGCTCATGAAACAAGAGGCACCTGAGTGCATGCACACACACAGATAACATACAGAGCGTTGTGGTTTTCTTTAACTGAACAATGAATTTTCAAGTTTAAATCTTTGTCCAGGTTCGCTAAAGGCTTTCGAATTTTGATAAATCCATGTTAATGCTGGAAAAAAGACCCTAGAAGATCAAAGTCCTACAAGTGAACAGCATGCATGCAGCACCAAGGTCATGTCCAATTCAAGGAAAAAAGTATTCAGATTCTGCCTGGCAAAGCAAGGGCAGCGCGGCAGCGGCCTGTCCCGCACCGCCTGGTCGTGGCACAGCAGCTGCTGCACGCTAGTCCTTCATCCGCAGTCAATGGGCTGAAATATCAGGCATGACTGGCATTTCAATCCACTCTATAAAAAAAAGGCATCGGTAATGTCTTTTTCAAGCACACCACTTTTTGTTCACGTAAAACTGAGCGTTGACAGTATGACCTTAATTTCTGCCTCAGGAGGGTATCTACCTCAGTGACTTGGTCCTTACTCATCGATTCCATACTGTGCTACTGAAATTATGAGCTTCTCTTAGGTTTAATATTAACCAGGACTTCAAAAGAGGAAAAAAACGAAAAAACTTGAAGAATGCAGCTACTGACTAGGACGCTTTCATATTTTAAATGATCACGAATATTAGAAAGCACACACAATTACAGCAGTTGTAAAAACCTCAGAATATTTTCACATAGAAAATTAAAATGTAGCTGACAAACAGATTCCTGAGGTGAAAAGCAGCTGACTCCGTGGCAAACCGAAGGGGGAGTGTGCCGGGGAGGGCCTGCAGCTCCGGAGGGCCGCAGGGAGGTCAAATGCGACAAGTGTGTCCTGTCGGAACGTTCGGGTTTGCCCACCCGAAGTGAGGCTGAGTTACCAGGGCAAGTCCGAACAAGTCTTAGGTGCAACCATCTGGAAGGGGAACCCTACGAGGGGCTGCAACAACACAGACTGAGTCTCCAGCTTCTCCTCGGGGAAACCTGTCTTGCCTCTCTCACACTGAGGTCATGATTTCCCAGGCTTCTGGGGCAAAAGTTGAGAAGAAAACTGTTAGCCCTGCAGAGAAAACAACTTACCTAATACGCCACTAGGTTCAATGGGGTACTCAAGGATCGACGTAGCTGGTGCCAGCGTGTAGGGGTACTCATAGGGGGTGTAGATCAAGCCAGCTTCGGGCCCGGGAGGAACTATCGCGGCGGTGGGGTGAGGGGTCCCGTTCGGCATGACGGCGGTCTGTATCTGTCTGATCAAAGGCATTATGGTGGGGCCGGCCGGCGTCGGGGTGCGCAGGGCAGCTGGGGGGAGGACAGGCGCAGGCCCGGTAATAATCCTCGGAGCAGCCTGGGCTGTGGCTGCAAGAGAAAAGGCAAGGGCTGCTACAGTAAGCAAAGAAATTCAGAAGGAAGTACAGAGACAGCAGTGCAAAACACAGAAAACGAGAGGGAAGTGGGAAAAAGAAAGAAAGGAGCAGGAAAGGAGAAAAACAAAAGGAAACCATTAGTACATGCGCTGATCACACAGCAATGCCAAAGCACACCGATCAAACACACTGGCTCCCCTTCCCACCGTGATTAAGGATCAATGTGCAAAAATTAAAAAGCCACTGTAAAAAAACTGAGACCATTAATAGGTTATATTTAGTTTATATTGTTGATGTATCTATGTTTTTAAGATCTCATAAGGCTAAAGGTGCATGCAGAAGCACAAGAAAAACACTCGCATTAAAAGGTATTTTTAAAAATATTTTGCAATTGGAGTCCACAGAAACAGTTTTGGCGTATTTCTAAAAGAGTAAATTCAGTTTAAAATTAAAGGAAGAATCATTTTTACTATATTAAATAAGCCAACCACCTACTATTTACATATAAACTTCCTGCACATGTAGACACTAACTTCTCATACAAAGCAGTACAGGGTGGGGCAAAAGTGGGTTTGTAGCTGCTTGTATGGAAAATAACACAATTAATAAATAATGACACAAGCATCGACTGTTTCTGCATACTCACAACTACTTCCACCCCACCCTGTGCAATGAATGTCCCGTTCCCCGGGGCACGACGCTGAGGACATGCTCCTTCTCCCGAGGAAACGGAAGCCAACCATCTGTCAAGCGACCCCTTCCGAACCCGACAGGTTGTCCACACTTTGGAAAACTGCCTAGCACTTTAAAATTCAATTTCTTTAAAAAAATTAGTAATCTCGCCTCAGATTTTCTTAAAATATAAATTTCACATTTCATTTTAACTATAAAAAAAAAGCACCCTCTTATATAACCTGGGAAAGCATATCCAAACACAAACAAAGGAACCAACTGGATTAAAACAGTGAACACCGACTGTCCTCGGTGAACTCACACGTAAAGTCACCCACCCGGGAGAAAACACTGGAGGGGGGAACATGCGAGGAGTGGAGAGGACAACTCAACAGAGGGATCACCGCATTCAGACACAGTCAGCACTAGCTCTGAAAGTTTTCCTTTTCTGTCCTTTTCATGAATGTAACAAAATAACCTAGAAGTTTAAGTCTGAAGCCTTAAATCTGTAGTTAACGGAACAGGAAATTTCGTTCACCTCTTGGGTTTAGAAGTTGAAATTCCATTAAAAGACTAGAAGTTTACAGACCCCACACCTGGAAGACGTGCGGGAATACAGCGAAAACAGGCACAGCACCCACAGGCTGAGACAGCGGTAACCACGGGGCTGCTGGTCCCACCCCGAGGGCCCATCGTGCCCGCCCTCCGCTCCGTCCGACTGTCCGCGCGCTGTGCCGCCACCACGGGGAGAAAGGTGTGCGGACAAACAGCTGAGGCGGTGGCCGGCGCGGCCCCAGTCTCGTTCTTACGTGATTTGATGTTGGCGTCTCTGTAGGTGCCGTTCAGAATCGCCAGCTCCATCAGCTGCATCTTCTTCAGGCTGTCTTCTCCCTCTGCCTGGACAAGGAAACCAGGAGAGCGGTGAGCGCGTGCCCACGTCTGGCCCTCGTTCCGACCCCCGTCCCTGTCCCCGGCGCCACGCAGCGCACCTGTGCTCCCCGCCCCTGGTCAGACGGCCCCGGCCCCAGCCGGCCTCCGGCCCCAGCCGGCCTCCGGGGTGCGCCGCTCCCCGCCGTGGCCGCCCTGCCCTGGCCGGCACTCGGCCTTTCGACCACGCCCACCTCACGCGCCACCCCGCCCCGTGCGCGCTGCTCCATTGGGGGAGTCAGTCATGCACAGGCATCTGTCATCCGTCCTTCCTATTTTTTGTTGTTTTTAGGAAATTTCTCACGACTCATATTCATAAATTAATCAACTGCCACTCTTCTTTTCAGCCCCTAATGCCTTGCAAAAGTGAACTTGCTCAGTACATTAAAAAATTGAACATTTCTATAAATCTAAAATGAATACGAAAGGCTTTACAAATAAAAGAAAAATTATATGACTGATTCACCTGGAAAAACAAAGCCTGGAAGCCTGGACAAGAAATTAGTAGAGAAAAGAGGAAAGGAAGAGTGACTGGTATTTATTTTTAATTCCAGTCATCGCCCTGCCAACTACAGACAAGCCCGACAAAGAACTCGACTGGCCTGAATTTAGGAAGGGTTCAGAGGCAGCAGAATGACATAAGGACTTGTCTTCAAGGGCTCACTCTGCTCTTTTGTGAATGGACTGCTGGGAGCAAACCAGCCAAACACAAACCACCCAGTCACGAGCTTCAGCCCAGTCCAGGAGACAGAAGTGAGACCGGACAGGGTAGATGCCGGAGGGAGGGAACAGGAGACATCGATGAATGATGTTTAGGTCTTTAGACTGGTATATGGCGGCTCCGCCTGATGAGAAAGCAGCGCAGGGCTAAGTGACACAGAATCAAACATTAAGGCTGAAATGCCTACTCTACACACGCAAGTGAGGATGTCTTGTAGACGGGCGAGGCGCGTCTGGGGTCTACTCGGCTCCAACTCAGCCTCTTAGAGCTGGCAGAACAACCATCCTCCCACAGCACTTCCAGAATGTTTTTCTCCAAGACCATTATCTTATTAAGCTCCAAAATGACCTGCTAACTGCTTTCAGGTGCTGGGTCTAGGGTCCGTGTGGTGCGACTTCCGCTTTGCCAGCTGGGTGTTCAAGCAGAGGGTGGGTGCGCCGGCTGAGGGCAGGAGGGGCTCCGTCCCGGGACAGAGTGCTCCCCGCACACGTGGCCCCAGTGCCCGGGCTCTGGCCCCTGCCTGCGGGCAGCAGCCGAAGGTGTCTCCACACACCTCTGCTGCCGAGGCCCCAGCGACAGCCGTGCTGGGACCCCCACTCTCAGGTCTCAGTCGCACCTCTGCACCGAGCTTTCTGAGTGTGTAAGGTGTGGTAACAGAGCCGCTCTCTTTCTTTTCCCAGCCATCAGGGTACCAGCTGCTTCTTGCAGTTTCTAAATCTGTGCCACGCCCTGTCTCTTTTTCCCCTCAGCAGTTCCTGACACCTGTGTAACCAACTCCTGTATTAATTCTCTCTGCTGAAACACTGGAAGGTCTCATCTAATGTCACTGTTTTGTTCTGTGACTTTAGGTGAGATGACGTAAAACAGACCCAGGTTCACCACAGGCTGGCTGATAAATCCAGAGTGAAGTCCCTGTGGCATCTCAACATTGTGAGGAATGATGTAATCCGAGGACCTGGGGCACCTCACGCAGTTTGCTTTCCTGATCCGGAACCGGCTCTCCGTCACTATTTCTCAGAACCTGAATTTCTCCGACTGGCACTCACAGCCACATCAGCTCCCTCTCCCTTATGCCACCAAACCCAGTTTCTGCCAAAAATCTGTGTAGACTCTGTGATAGTCTGCTACCTACTTCTTTAGGTTATTCAAAGGTCCCTTGAATCCACATTCCTTATTTTTCCCAGTCTTCGACGTTCAGTTAACAGATGGCTAAATAAGCACCTACTCTGATATTGATACTTAACACAGTTTCTCTCTGGTAAGTCCAACACAAAAAGTGATGTTCACAAATCACAGCACACTACAGAAATCCACAGAATTGTTAGAGACCCAATATAGGCAGGCATACTTTGGAGAAATAGTGAGTTCAGTTGCAAACATGTTGAAAAACTAAACAAATAGTGCAATAAAGCAGATCACACAAATCACACAAATTTTTGGTGCATATAAATGTACTATGCTTTATTAAGCATGCAATAGTATTATGTCTAAAAATGTACACCTTAAACATAGTTCACAGGTAGAAAGGGCTGACCATTACCCGAGTCCTCAGCGAGTCCGAGTTTTTTGCAGGTGAGGACCCTGCCCTGATCAGATGCTGCTGACTTACTACGGCGCTGTTTTCTGAAGGCTGAGGTGACACCGCGGCCATTTCCGAGGCCGACAGGGACGCGTGCCGCACCGACTGCCACTCCCGCTCAGGAACGACCTCTCCGCAGCACGCAGTGCCCTCGGCGGCACGTCCCGACAACAAACGCCCCTCCAGACCCGAGGCCGTCCTCGCAAACCCGCCGCTGCTTCATCGGCCGAGCTGCTGTACTGTTCGGAATCCTTTGTTGTCGCCTCGACAGTCTGCGCGGCACCTTCGCCAGGCGCAGATGCCATCTGGAGAAACCACGCTCTCTGCTTAGCCGTGAGAAGTTCTTCCTCAGGGACGGAAGTGTCGTCACGGGATCGCAGCAATCCCGCCCCGTCTGCAGGCCCCACTTCTAGAACTCTCTAGCAATTTCCACATCTGCGGTCACTTCCTCTGCTGAGGTCTCAAAACCCTCAAAGGCACCCAAGAGGGCTGGAATCAACCTCTTTCAAATTCCTGTTAATTTTTTAAATCTTGATTCAGTTTCCATGAATCCATGTTCCTGCTGTCACCTAAAATGGCGAATCCTTTGCAGAAAGTTTTCAATTTACCTTGCCTGGATTCATCCCAGAAATCACTACAGTGACTATAATCTCATAAAATATATTTTTTTAATAGTAAGATGTGAAAGTCAAAATTAATGCTTAATCCACGGGCTGCTGAAGGGACGCTGCGCTTGGAGGCATGGAGAAAAGGGGCACCTCCTTGTACCCCCGCCCCCAGAGCCCGTGGGCGACCAGCCGCGCGGCCGGTGAGCAGCAGCGCCGCTGTGAACGGCGTCCTCTGGCCGACCAGGCCTCGGCAGCGGGCTTCAACTGCGCGGTCACCCGGACTCGAGCCCTGCGCTCTGCCGTTCCGCTGAGCACAGGGCGCGCACAGGGAGGACAGGTTTAGCCCAACTCTTCTGGATGGTACAGTGAGCACTGGCTTCAGCTGGAAGTCACCAGCCCTCAGCAGAAGGTCAGCCTGTCCTTCGAAGCCTGGAAGCCAGAACCGACTTCTCCCCTCCAGCTGTGCAAAGCCCTGGCCGGCGTCCTCTTCCACTACGAAGCTGTTTTGTCTGCACCGGAATCTGTTGTTTAGTGGAGCCTCCGTCACTCATTCATCTCAGCTAGGTCTCCTGGACACCTTGCTGCCACGTTCCCAGCAGCACTTGCTGCTTTGCTTTGCAGTTTTACTTTGAGACTGTTTCTCTCCTTAAACCTCACGAACCCGCCTCTTCCAGCTTCGGACTTTTCTTTTGCAGCTACCTCACCGCTCTCAGCCGTCACAGACTTGGGGACGGTCAGGGCCTTGCTCTGGACTGGGTTCTGGCGTGAGGGGACGCCGTGGCTGCCTCCATCTGCTATCCAGACCACTAACGTTCATCATCAGCAATAAGGCTGTTTCCCTTTCTCATCACTTGTGTGTTCATTTATGTAGCACTTTTAGTTTCCTTTAAGAACGTTCCCTTGGCATTCACAACTTGGCTAACTGGCTCAAGAGGCCCCGTATTCAGCCTATCTTGGGTTTTGACATGTTTTCCTCACTGGGCTTAATCATTTCTAGCTTTCAATTTAGAGTGGGAGACATGTGGTTCTCCCTTTCACTTGAACACTTAGAGGCCCAAGTGGCATCACTGACTGCCAGGTTTCCACACTGCCGTGTCTCGGGGGGAGGTGGTGGAGGAGGGGAACAGGCAGGGAAAGGGCTGGCTGGAAGCAGAACACATTAAACATCTGTTGGTTAAGTCTGCTGGGTTCTATGAGTGCAGTCCATAGCGCCCCAAAACAACGGCAATAGTAACATAAAAGATCACTGATCACAGATCACCATAACAAATATAAAAATAATGAAAAAAATTTGAAATGCTGAAAAAATTACCGAAAAGTGACAGAGACACAAAGTGTGCCAATGCTGTTGGACAACGGCTCCAGGCCTTGCTGGATACAGGGTGGTTGGGACCTTCGGTGTGTGAATAGCGCAGTGTGTGCAGAGCACAACGAAACTCAGTGCGGTAGACAAGGGATGCCTGTATTAAAAAGATGTATCGGAACTGCCATGTTTCCGTGGACAGCCAAAGACAATGCAGCACCACCATCACCTTCTCTGGGCAACCTGGCCCGCACCTCTCGCACAGGGCAGTCTCTCAGCGGCGATGACACGCGGAGGTGGCTGTGTTGCTCCACCGAGAGATGTGGGGGTCGAGACATGAGAGGCACAGTCGGGGCAGAAGCTCGGCCTACCCTCTTTATCTCCCACGATGCTATCTAACACTTTACCCTATTATCATATTGACACTTGGATTCCCTTGATCACACAGGATTTGGATCCTGACTTTACAGTGGTGCCAAAGTGGTACACGCACTTCAAATCTGAATGTGGATCTCCTCCTGGGCTAGTGATGTGAGTGTGGCACTCTGGTGATGCCGGAGAGCAGCAGGGCCCCACAGCCCCAGTCAGCCCGGGATCACAGGGCAAACAACCTGTAAGCCACGGGGGACTGTGCTGTCAGTGTCCTTGGGACACTGTGCTTTTGCATCCCGTCACGTGCGCCCCATGCCCCCTGTGTCTCCTGTTTCTGAGAAGAGGGGGAGGAAGGCAACTGCTCATCAAAAACCCCTAGACAGGTTG